TAACCAGTGCAGCTATAAAATACTAGAAGTATTACAGACTGAGCCACTTGCACGCGCGCGCGGGTGCGTGTAGCTTTACCAAATTCAGTCATTTCGCTACGATGACTGCATTGTGACAGTTTATAGTGATGTCTAGCACGAGGCATCATGCAGCAGACATGTAGCATGATGTCCCACCCAGTCACATTATCCTGACATCAGGTCGTCCAGTCCTAACACTAACCTCTTAGTGTTGAGCGCCGAACGATGCAGCTGTTAGTACCATTTAACATCGACCCGACAAATAAGCGCCATATTTAATCCATTCTTGCGTTACCATCAGTAAAGTCTAACCAGCTTAAGTTGACTTGCATCACACACACACAGACATATATATATATATATATATATATATATATATATATATATATATATATATATATATATATATATATATAGATGCAATAAACTGACGACGAACAGTACGAAACTAGTAACTAACTAGCCTCTTTATATATATATATATATATATATATATATATATATATATATATATATATATATATATATATATATATATATATATATATATATATATATATATATATATAACTGTGATCCTAATATATGCAATAAAAAAGAATGAGAAGTAACACGCTCTGTAAATTTCAATAAATAATTCATTTCTCTATAATACAAGGTGAGAATGTAAATCGATTTACGATATGGCGAATTATATCCCAAATAATCATAGAATTACTAACACAAGTTAATGAATAAAGTTATGAATTTCCTTTAGTGGTATTCCAAATAATTTACAACATTGAATGTGTTGATGAATCTGTAGTGACAGGCAGTCTCTAGTGATGTGCCAACAGTCTTTTGTTGAATCACAGTAATATAATCCAAGATATCCTTCTTTGAATTCACCATAATTCCAAGTTAATGTATATTTCCAAGAAAATTAGAGTACTTTCTAGAGAAGAATAATTTGAATAACATAATTTCAGATCAAATCAAGCACTAAACACAACACATTATTCTGCCTCAATATCTCGTAGCAGGAATCAATCATTTTTCAAGTAATCAAGCTTAGAAAGCCCTTTAGTTGACCTATGTCACAATTAGAATGTTCTTTAATGAAAAAGTCCAATCTAGATGATTATGTTGCGACAATTATATTAAAGAACATAATAAGCACAATGTCTTTGACACAGACCAAGATAAATATGTTTACTTCTAATAAAAATAATAATAATAATAATAATAATAATAATAATAATAATAATAATAATAATAATAATAATAATAATAATAATAATTATTATTATAGTATCAAACCCACTCCCATAGAGAAAATATTAGCTATGTATTAGTTGTTTAGAGAAATTTAAAATAATCAATGATTTTGTCCTGGTATACAATGAGATTGATTTTGGACCAGATCAGCTACAAAATTCAATTTTACTTAACCCTTAGCATAATGGATAAACAAGATATAACAAACAATGCAAGTTATGTATTAATTTTCTAGCATCAAAGAAATTCATTAGAATTATTTTTATTATGTGTCCTTGTGATGTAAGATGACTTTTCATTTATCAATTTTGGTTTGTGTATGCGTGTGTACGTGCGTGAAAGAGAGATGAAGGGATCGAGAAAGTGAATATGCCCTAATTTTAATATATTTTCTGTAACACGATATTTAAATCTAAGAATTATCCTGCCTTGCTGGTCCTGTTTCTTGTTTGTACTTTATATTATTTACAAAAATGGCTAAGTGGAGCTAAGATGGTTTAATGCATCAAAGCTGCGCTTTAATTGATTTGATTATAAAATGCTTCGTGCCGTAATCTCACACCTACATGACTCAGCCTTTACATAATTATATTTTAAACTAGAACTTGAGCAAACGTCGCACTTTTGTAGAAGCAAGTATTTCACACAAACAGGTGTGCGGGCTATGATAACCTTTAAAATCTCCTTCAATACATGTATTCAACATGGTTATGTAAATAGATACAACGGGATTTGTTTGTAGTCTGAATATCGTCTAATCATCTCATGTTCTTTTAAAAGCAATATATAAAACTATAAATCTGGTAGATACAGCTTTTATAATGTAATTCTAATGACTCACCATAGCTATCAAGTACAGTAATATTGACCCTGTAATCTCTACCCCACCCCCTTGCCCGGATAGTGACTTGGGGGCCCTAACTTTAAATCCTCTTAATTTATGCAAACGTTCGTGTCATGCCACAAAATTTTGCGAGTGTGACTGCTAAAGTAAAGTATATATAACTTTGCGAATTTACGACGTGTACATTAGAACGAAATAGAATGTCAGGCGTACTTTTGGGCGAGCAGGTCTTTCTATATCTTGAAAACAAATATATGGAGTCTGTGGAAAATTAGCACATATTTTCAAAAACTTTGCTAGTTTGTCAGGTCACGCCTTGAAACTATATCTGGATGAATATTCTATGTCAGAACGAATTTAATCTGCCAAACTTTTTAAAGTTCCTCAAGGTATATATAAAGAGGACTGTTCTTAATTTTATGAGTACAAAAATAAAGCAAGACTAACCTACTTATATTAAAGCAGAGTGAATTTAGACTACGCATAAGGGAAGCAATGCATTTTTATTCATATTTCCCACTTCATAGAGCCCTCCTTTTGCTGTGTATAGATATGTGCCAATTTTGATATGGTAACTCCAATCCCCCTCCCCTAGTTACAAGGGAACGAATTTATTGATTCCACACCCAATCCATTTTAGCACTGACACTTCGAAATATATTGCGCATAATAATAAAGCATGTGTATTGGTCAATCAATAAATGGCAGATAATTATAGTAGATTCTGGGTTTTTATGCATGCCTGATATACAAATACCAAATGAACTATTTATACTGCGAGTAACGAATCGGATTTTTATTTCGATTAAATACCTTTCTTAAACAAAGATAGAAAAGAATAAAAAAAATCAATGTATTCAGGAACCAAACATAAATGAATGAATGAACGAATATTGCTTACCTACTTGCCTTTGGTTTAGTTAAGGGTTTGAAGAAGCATTTTGAAACATTCATGGTTTGTCATTTAAATGGAATATTCTATTCCGTGACTGAACAATGATCCAGCAGTTGGGTTAAGTACTGAGAAGTCGTAGACAACGTTCTGATTAACGCATGATTGTTTAATATATGTATGTATGTATGTATGTATGTATGTATGTATGTATGTATGTATGTATGTATGTATGTATGTATGTATGTATGTATGTATGTATGTATGTATGTATGTATGTATGTATGTATGTATGTGTGTATGTGTGCGTGCGTGCGTGCGTGTGTTTGTGTGTGTGCGTAATTTGTCAATAAGCATAATAGGTTTATTTTGTACATCAGCTGATAAGAATACATGTTGAAGTATACCGAAGAAATCTTTTAATGTATTGTGTATTGCTTTGAATGTGGGAAACATGTTTTTATTGATAGCTCTGATCATAACTTGACAAACAACTTAAGTCATTACCTTTCATTTCAACCATGCCGGTGTCTACACGATAACCATTAATCAAGTCCGGTCATCAGGTAAGATAAACAACAGATCCTGTAGTGTTCACTAAAATAATTTCAGAGTAAATCCTGTCGACTCCGACATCTCGTCAGGTCCAAACAGATTTGCAAATTTCAGTGTCTGCGATTAACCCATCTCACTTCGGATAACACGCTGTATTATGTCAAATCATAACTTAGTTGTGTGTGCATGTGTGTGTGTGTGCGTGTGTGTGTGTGTTAAATGCATTTCATTCATTAATCATGAAAATGTACAGGACTCAGGGGTACAGGATTGACATTACAGGGGTACAGGATTAAGTGTCTTCTAATCTGTGCATTCCGGATTTCTATAATTCTCCAATAAACCTTTTGCTAGTTAAAACTTGACTTTATATGTTGTTAAATTACTTCTTTTTAGTCCTTTCAAGGATAAATTCATGATTAGTTTACACTATTTTCATGATTAGTATACACTTTTTTCATTATTAGTATACACTATGTTCATGATTAGTATACACTATGTTCATGATTAGTATACACTATGTTCATGATTAGTATACACTATGCTCATGATTAGTATACCCTATTTTCATGATTGGTATACCTTATTTTCATGGTTAGTATACCCTATTTTCATTATTAGTATACACTATGTTCATGATTAGTATACACTATGTTCATGATTAGTATATACTATTTCATGATTAGTATACCCTACTTTCATGATTAGTATACACTATTTTCATGATTAGTATACACTATGCTCATGATTAGTATACACTATTTTCATGATTAGTATACACTATGTTCCTGATTAGTATACCTTATTTTCATGGTTAGTATACCCTATTTTCATTATTAGTATACACTATGTTCATGATTATTATACACTATGTTCATGATTAGTGTACACTATTTTCATGATTAGTATACACTATTTTCTATCTTCAATATATGCCATGGTGAGAAAAGCGTAGACTCCAAGCTGTCGCTTCATAACTGGATTCCCAGTCAGAGCCTAAGAACTTGGTTTTTATTAATATAATTAATTCTGATCGGAGTTCTATTGTTGCATCTGCAACATGATATTTATATAATGATCTCAAATGTAACTTCAAATTGTTCTCTTATCTCCGATTGTTTTTAATATTAAAGAAAGAAAAAGCATACAAAATTCTACAGTTCAGCACATCCATTCAACATTATGTAATGTGATGTGATTTAGACCTTATAACGGCGCTTTAACAATTTTTTCGGTCATATAGCTGCTATGTCTGCAGTGTGACAGTTTATAGAGATGTCTAGCATTGGGGTATCATGCCGCAGACTTGTAGCATGATGTCAAACCCAGTCACATTATCCTGATACCAGGCCGACCAGTCCTAACACTAACCTCTTAATGCTGAGCGCCAAGCGAGGCAGGTGATAGTGCCATTTTTATAAGTCTTTGGTATGACTCGACCGAGCTTTGAACCCGTGCCCTCCCACATCTGAGGCAGACACTCTAACCACTAGGCCATCGAAGAGGTCAACATTATGTTTTTGGAAGATATTCTGAAATGGACAATAAAAAAGAATCCAATTTAAAAATATCAAAAGACGAGAATCATTTCGTTTTAACATATACTTGAAATGATAATCATAGGATTTGTCTTCTTGGTCTAGTATATTTTTGTATATTTTGATCTTCAGTTCATTACAGATATATATATATATATATATATATATATATATATATATATATATATATATATATATATATATATATATATATATATATATAGATTAGTTGATTGAATGAAGGTAGGAAGAAGAAATGAAAGAAGAAAAGATACAATGAAATAAATAAAAAGCACAAGAGATAGGCAAGTGACCTTTCATTGTTAAAAATGTTACAATTGTTATAAGAAGTCCATTGCGTTTGTTTTATTTTCTAAGTTTTTGTTTCTTACCGTCTCACCTTCTTTTTAATACCCAATGACTGAATATGAATTGCAAAGAATAAAAAAATAATGAATAAGCAAACAAAGTCAAAACATTGATCTATTTAAGTAGTATGGAGCAAACACTAATTAAAATATGAAATGTTTTGGTTCGCACCTGTGCCTCAGTCAAAATGAAATGGAGTTAAACTACAACATATACTACCTAAGAATACATGTATAGAGGAATGACATCACTGTAATTTACCATATAATACCTAACAATACTTATGGATGGGAATTACGTCACTGTAATTTACCATAAAGTACCTGACAATACATGCTATGGGGAAATACTTCACTGTAATTTACAATAGAGTACCTAACAATACATGCTGAGATAATTACTTCAATGTTAAAGCAATTTACGACACTTTAAATAGTCCCGATCTTATTATTTCAGTGATTTCTCTTTAATAGATGAGAGTAATTACCGAAAATGATGTATATTGAACTATATAAAGGAATGTTTTGTCACATAAATCTCTATTATCACATAGTCGGTACACTTCGCCTCCAGGTTTTGCAGTTTCATATTTTTGATATGATATTATAAGTGTGAACATATCACTTTATGTAATCCTGACTGGTCCAACTAAGCCCATAAAATTTGTGTGCACAATCCTCTTTACTGACAGGCTGGGGTCGTAGGAAAACCTTTTAAATCCCAAATTCTGGAATGTTTTGTTTTGAATGTACATTTTCTATCGGCCATTTTTTAACTCGACTCGTGAAAAGAAAATTGAGGTAAAAATTATCTCAAAATGGATATGTTGCCTCCATACGGGTTTGTTATGTCATGTTTAATAATATCATTATAAGAAAAATGGCGTAAAACTACAATACAAGAACAACAATAAGGAGTAACACTAAGGGATAGCGGGTGGCGGAGGGGGGAGGCGTATATCTGTAACATAAAATCCATCGTATATACAAGCGTGGTTTAAATATTTACTTAAAGAAGAAAATAAATTTACCTCTGTTCACAGAAGAATCGGGACATAAATGGGTCTCCTAGGTGGCAGAACTTTATTCAAGCACAGCATCTGTACGTAACATATATGGGATGTAAATCCGACACGGAAAGAAATTTGTTGACGTCTTCTGTACAGTCTTTTGTTCCAAATCAAACACTGCAAATATCCGGTCACAAATGCACTAAAGTAGATGATGAAATTTTTTGCATCCAGTAATCCTATCTCACATGAAAATAGCAATAATGTAACTTAGTTCTGAAAGTAACACTTTAGGGTAAAGATGTACTCTACTGTAGGCCAACTATATTGTATACCATATCAAACAACGTGGCAGAATCACATCGCATTGATCATTCTGATTTGAAAAATGATTTTGTCGTTATTAAATGATCTGTTTATTCGGATGGAAGCTTTTCGTTTGATTTATAGTTTGTAAAACAGTACAATCTACTTTTACCAGTTCAGCTTTGTTTAGGACTATATTTTATGCACAACAAATGAAAGGTGCACCGTCTGTCAGAAGGAACGACGTTATTCGTTTTTCATTCTATCTAAATAATTTCCACTAAAAAAAACTATGTCATAAAAAGAATCTCAAATGGGTAAAGATTTAAAATTAAATTTATGAAACTCATTGAAAAAAGTCCGCTTTTACTCGCCAAGGCTCGCAAAAGCTGGACATTATTCAATGAGTTTCATAAATTCAATATTAATTCATTACCCATTTGAGATCCTGTGTTTCTAGAATTGACAACTGAAAAGAGAATATGTGAATGAATATACGCAGAGAGAGAGAGAGAGAGAGAGAGAGAGATTTACTCGAAACCAACAGACAAACACCAATATATCCTTCCAACTAGCTATCATCCTAATCACTGCATTAGGAACATCCCATATAGCCGGGATAATCAGAATTTGATTCGACGATGAAACATTCCTATAAAGGTCTAACGCGCTATCTAAACATTTAATTTACCGAGGCTAGGACAAAGACCTGACTGAGGAGGCAACCCAAAAGGCTAAACAAACCGCGATGACTCCATAAAATATGGAGAAAAGGAAAAGGCTGACAAGGTACTGTAGCGGACCACTCCCTCAGCTACAATGCCCGAGTCTCGCTATCTCTGATAATTTCGCAGGGTCGCCGATTCGGTCGCAGGGCCCACAACTGGGCCCTCAGCTACAATGCCCGAGTCTCGCTATCTCTGGCAATTTCGGATAGGTCTTGTATTAGGGGTGATACCCCGCTGTATCTGTCTAAGGACTCACACTCCAGTGTATGACAGATTTCTACTTCAGCGTGATACTGTCTTATTGCTGGCCTCTTGAATGTCGTCGACTTTGTCGCAGTCTCCGACTTGGTCGCAGACTTGTCGCAGTCGTGGTCGCAGACATCTCACAAGGTCGCCAACTGGATGCAGACTTGTCGTAGTCTCCGACTGATTCGCAGGGTCGCCGATTCGGTCGCAGGGCCCACAATTGGGCTGAAGACTTTTCGCAGTCTCGATTTCCGACTGAGTCGCAAGGACGCTGACTGATCGCCGACTTGTCCAGGTTTCGGTCGCAGTCGGCAACTGGTTTGCATGGTCGCCGACGTGGTCTCAGATTCACCGGCTGGGTTGCCGACCAGTCTCAGGTCGCCAACTGGTTGTAGGGTTGCCGACTAGTCACAAAACCGCCAACTGGGTTGCAGATTTGTCGCAGTCTTAGTCGCCGACATGGTCTCGGAGTCGCCGATTGGTCGCAGACTTTTTTGCCGCCTGGTCTCAGAATTGTAGTAGTCTCGGACGCAGTCACCGATTGGTTCGCAGGATCGCCGACCGGCTCTTCTTCTTGTCGACAACTTGGTCACAGAGTCACTGACAGGGCATCTGACTTTTCGCGGGGTCGCAGACTTGGTCTTCTTCTGGTCTCCGAATTGAGCGCAGGGCTATCGCCGAGTCTTCGACTTGGTTGCAGAATCGCGTCGTAATCCAAACGGGATCAACAGAGAAAAGCGACAGTGTGAAATGATGAAATAAAAGCTATTCACAGTCAAAAACGTGCATTACCATAAGACCTCTGCGTTTCTTGGAAGAGCCTTGTTTTTCCGGGCTTTTGGTCGACGAAAGAGTTTGTCCCTATTCTTCTCCGATTCCCTGGCCTGGCTCTCTTCAGTCCAACGAAATACAACCAAGTGTGCTTGCTCTGGCGGGGTTGTTATACTGCTACACTGCAGAGGACGTCTTCACTTAATACCGTTTCCTAACACACCGCCATAGCAGCCACAATTGGTCAGTACATACATACATACATACATACATACATACATACATACATACATACATACATACATACATACATACATACATACATACATACATACATACATACATACATACATACATACCAAGGCGGAATCACGTGACCCAAAACAAAAGACGTTAGATGGCACTGCAAAACCATCCAAACATTTAAAATCACAACAAAAACTTAAACGAAACGAAATATTAAATAACGAAACGAAAATTTTGGTTTCCTCCTATCCTACCATCCAGACTATTCCAAAGTAGATAAAATCATCGGGAAACACTGGCCCATTGTGGAATCGTCAGATGCACTAAATTTAATCCTCCCAAACAAACCTGTAGTAGCCTATCGGAGACCAAACAAAAAAAAAAACTCAAGGACATCCTAGTCTGGGCAAAGCTAACGCCAATCACTAATCAAGACCACCCTAGTCAATCTTGTCAATATGGCTATAAAAGGTGCAAAACCTGTCAACTTATGATACAGACCAGTACATTTTCTAGCACAGTGACTAGAGAAAAGCTAAGCATACCTTGTCCAAATAAAACGTGCAAAGCAGAGAATGTAATTGATCTCATCATCTGTAAGATCTGTAGGCTTCAGTATGTCGTAGAAACTAAAAAGCTACACAGAAGGATCAACCTTCATAGATCTGATTGGATGACAAAGAGCTGTACAGAAGACCGGTCGCATAACTTTTTCCCTGGCCACACTTTCAGTGATATAACACTTATTGCGATTGTTCACAATCCTAAATAGAGTTCTGAAACCATGAAAAAACGGAATCTTAGGACCTACTAAATACACCGCCTTAGATCATTGAAACAAAGCAGTTTAAATCAAGAAGACTCTAAAAAGACAGCCGTTCACCTATGCGCAAATGAAATTATTTGTTTTTTGCAGCAAACACGTTTTCTTTTAAATAACTCTCTAAATTTGCTTAATAGCCTCTAATTACTACTATGACAATGAAATATCCGGGATATAATTCGCTTTTACATAAAATTTACATAATACAACAGATGTCGTTATGTCTGATCGATTTCTAAGTCAATAAAAATATGTTCAAGCATCCACATAAAGTTGAAATAAACTAGTTTAAACATAATAAATATAAAGGTCTAATTCCTGTAAAAACAGCTATGTAAAGTTTTGCAAACACAAAGGTTTTGTGTTTTATTTGTTTGTCTTGTCGATATTTTGCATTTGCCTTTGGAAAAGACTCATTAAGAGTCGAGAGAGCTCAAGCTACTTAGATACTAGTTTTGCACAGTTCGTTGTCCAATTATTGCTTTTATCTTAATCTATCTCTGGCACACGTGATCCCTTGCAAGATGGCAATATTATATGTTTGTTACAGATTCTTCTTTTCCTGGTGCATGTAACATCATGAGATTAATATATGTATTTCCAACACATAATTCACTGTTACGGTGGCCTAAATGGATAAAGCGTTCGCCCTGGCCGTATCATACCAAAGACTTATAAAAATGACTTGCAGCTGCCTCCCTCAGCGTGCAGCATTAAGAGGTTAGTGTTTGGACAAGTCATCCTGGTGTCAGGATAATATAACTTGGTGGGATATCATGCTACATGTTTGCCGCATGATGCCTCAGCGCTAGGCATCACTATAACCTGAAAGTAATTTGTTGTTTTTTTTAGTAAGGTCGCAGTTTTGCCAGCAGATAACAATGACTCGTGAAAAATTCCAGATTTTCGTCTGCGCTGATCACGAATACAACCATGATACTAATGAGGATAATAATAATAATAATAATAATAATAATAATAATAATAATAATAATAATAATAATAATAATAATAATAATAATTGTAATGTGTCAAATTTTGAAAACTTAGAAGTATTGATTAAATGAAAACTTAGAAGTACTGATTAAATGAATTGTACCAAAGTCAACTTAATTAAAGTAGAAAGGGCTAGAGACTTGACCGAGTCACCTTTTATGGTACAAGGGTTTTGGCATAAACCTCTCCCCAAATTCAACCGGTTAAAAGGGGAAGCACGCCAATAATGGATTGTTCAAAGTAACGTTAATTACGGAATGATTAGCTGTTTTGTCAATCAAAAATTCTAAGAGAATTTAGGAAACAGTCGATTCTGGGGCGTAATTCTTGTAATAAATTAGTGGTCCTACTTGGGAAAAATTCGTCAGTCTTCAATCTTATTTGCGAGAAGTAAGAAGAACTCCGGGCTAACGTAGAAAATACGTTTTTCCCGTGATTGAGTAAAGAGCCAGATAGTTGTCTCAGATAGGAGACAGACCATACGTTTGAGGTTCGTGGAAAACAAATAAGAAACGGCAAAGGTACGTAATCTTAGTTTCCCGATTTTAATGTGCTATTTAATTTGTTGATTTATTTGCAAATGTATTGATGTTATGATGTATGTATGTATTATTTCGTTTTGCATGGTTTTAGTCAAATGTTAGTCACAACATTTTATTCTTTGATTTTCTAATTATCAATTCATTGGGAGAATTGACAAGATTGCATGTAATTGAGTATTCGATACGTAGGAATGCGTAATAATTCAGTAAAATTTAGCTTACAAATTGATGAGTAATATTCGTAGATTTATGGATTAAATCTCTGTCTAGTATGCCATTTATTGAGTGTATATTCATGTGCTAGTTCGTAACATTTAATTGTTCTATTGAGTGCATATCTACATACTAGTTCGTAACATTTAATTGATCAATATTTTATTTTAGAATAGTTAGATTTGAGGGGCTAAGCCATATGTAATTTAACACTACTAAATAATTTAATGTAAAATGTCAAGGGGTGCTAAATACGGGCACATACGTGCTAGAGTGAAGCGAAGACTTAAGGATCCCACTAGCATGACCCAAATTAAGGCCAGGATACATGTAATAGCCGTCTCTGTTTGTAAACATAGGAATTAGTGAATGTGAGTACGGCAGAATTATTCATTTTATTTTCTGAGCTAGTTTATGTATAAATATAGATATATACTTGGAAAGGTGACCTATTGTCTATTGCGGAACATTTTATTTATTTAAGGAAACAGCTTCCTGAAATTTCCTGGCAAAAGTTCCTGTACAAATTCCAAGTACCAGAGCAAATTCTGAGCAAGAAGTCTAGATCTAGAGACGTTCGTCAAATCGTTCAAGTTCCGACTGGCAAGAGTCCAGGTCCAGACGACTCGACAAAGGTTGGCAGTGCAGGAACGAACAGAAGATTCGATGTCCAGATAAGATAGGTGATGATGTCCTTCATCGTTGAACTCAAAAGTCACAACTTGTAGGCTATGATGAAACTGGATTAATTCTGTCACTGACAAGTAATCTTAACGTGAAAATTTGTATTGCTTTTATTGAGTACATGTAAGTAGATTTTCTTCTTTTGTAACAAAGAAATTGCTTTCTTTCATTTGAAACTCTGCTGCTGAATTGATTAAGTTTTATATTTGTTCATTGAAAAGAAGGCTCCTTGTTTTATTACTTCAATATACTAGTTCAGAGATCTGCATTCTTCTTTCTATCCAGCCACACTGGATAAATTACACCGCGGGAGGTCATTCCCTAGCAAAGAACGTAGTGTAAGAGATTTGTGTGTTTTGAACGCCACCAATTTACCATAATAATAATAATAATAATAATAATAATAATAATAATAATAATAATAATAATGGTATGGTGTCGTAGTGAGTGACAGTTGTGATGTAATCAATAATCTATGTCCATTCATTGTATATTTTGTCCTTGTAACAATGGTTGATTCGTTTGCGCATTAACATTGTCAAGTAATAGATATTTTTGGTGCAACGAATGTGCTAAGGTTAAGTACACAGAATTCTTACACGATCTTTGATACCTTTTGAAGCATGACCCTGTGATATGAAAGCAATACAGCTTTTACTGATCTACAAGATGGACAGACGTAGTCGCTACTTTTAAAGTTTAGGACGATTTTCTTCACAAGCACCACACAGTGGATACAACTCGTGTAAATATGTGCTATATCATTCTTCCAGTGATACGAATTTACTGCCCGTTACACAGTCGTGCTTCACTTAGCTCTACATTTAAAGAAAGGTGGTCTAGTGGTTAGAGTGTCCGCCTCTGATGCGGAAGGTCATGGGTTCGATACCCTGCGCGGTACACCATAAAGTCAAAAGGTCGATGGGCGGAGCTATATGCGCATAAATACTATTATTGTGTTTTGAAGGAGAATCTACGATTGTCAACTTATTTATTTTAATAATAAAATAATAAATTTTATTATTAAATATATTTGGTTGTGAATTTTATTATTAAGTCTTAGGTGATGAAATAAAAATGAGCATCTAATAAAAAGATCGTGCAGTATAGCCATCCGAAAAACTCGTTCATATTTTCCCATACAAATGCAGTAACCTATAAGTATTTAAACGTAACATAGGTCAGACAGTGACATAGGAACAGTGATGTCTAAAATTTCAAACGTTCAGTGATTAAGTGTTGACAAAGCAACACAAGGGACACAACTCGTGCAGTGATGTCCTCATCATCAAACGGACCTTTTCTGAGCAGTTTTCTGTCTGTCCTTGCAGCATTCTTAATCTAAGACTTTTTTTCTTAACAAGACTTACAAAAATGGCACTAACAGCTGCCTCGCTTGGCGCTCAGCATTAAGAGGTTAGTGTTAGGACTGGTCGGCCTGGTGTCTGTATAATGTGACTGGGTGGGATATCATGCTACATGTCTGCGGCATGATGCCTCAGTGCTAGACATCTCTATAAACTGCCACACTACAGACATCGTAGCGATATGACTGAAAATTGTTAAAGCTACGTTTAAAATCCAAATTACACACACACACACACACACACACAAACACACAGCACCGTCTATATCACTTCAATATTCTATATCACTCTTGATCTTTGTCTAATATATCTTGCTATGGCTAATTTATATGGAAACATAAATACAAGGCGGTTTTTTAAGGGTAATAGAAATATTGACTCAAGATGGAGATATCAAAGACAAATTTATCCGCGTGTTTGTTGTTTGATTTGTACTTCTTTTTGCGTGTTACTACCTCCTTTTCTAACCGGAACACACTCTCTCTCTCTCTCTCTCTCTCTCTCTCTCTCTCTCTCTCTCTCTCTCTCTCTCTCTCTCTCTCTCTCTCTCTCTCTCTCTCTCTCTCTCTCTCTCTCTCTCTCTCTCTCTCTCTCTCTCTCTCTCTCTCTCTCTCTCTCTCTCTCTCTCTATATATATATATATATATATATATATATATATAGTTTGATGGGAGGTGTGGGAATGATGATCAACATATCTTTGCGATGGCATTTCGATATTATTCCCTTAAGGTGTCAATAATTTCTCTAATTTCTCTAACCGCTCCGGTGGCCTAGTGGTTAGAGCGTCCGCCTCAAATGCTGGAGGTCGTGGTTTCGATCCCCGGTCGAGTCATGCCAAAGACTTATAAAAATGGTACTATAACCTGCCTCGCTTGACGCTCAGCATTAAAAGGTTAGTCTTCGAACTGGTCGGCCTGGTTTCAGGATAATGTGACTGGGTGGGACATCATGCTACATGTCTGCGGCATGATGCCCCAATGCTAGACATCACTATAAACTGCCACAAAGCAGGCATCGTAACAATACGACTGAAAAATTGCTAAAGCTACGTTCAAAATCATAATCATTTCTCTATTTTACGGCAGCGAAAAATGCAGAATGTCGAATTCCTAAACTTAGAATGGGAAATGCTACTGACGTACACATACACGGAAAATATCGGTATGGAGGACAGGGTCCTTGTTCTGATTCGAAATGAATGAACGCAAAAGTACCTAGACGAATATCCATATTTGACCTTGAGGATAGATTCCAAAATTGCGTACAAACTGAGAACAAGCTTGGGCAAAATCATTTTAGTTTTTTTTTGTTTTATCGAGAATCAGAATGCTCTGTCTTCCTTATAGTTGTTGTCATACCTCCGCGTGCCATATTCCCCAAAATGTAAACGTATCTTCAGTTATGAGTGACACCACTATTGAGAGCCTGAACACACACACTCTCTCTCTCTCTCTCTCTCTCTCTCTCTCTCTCTCTCTCTCTCTCTCTCTCTCTCTCTCTCTCTCTCTCTCTCTCTCTCTCTCTCTCAACCTTTGGGCAAAAACATTACTTAAGTTACGAGTATTTCCTTCGCATAGCAAGAAGTGTTATGAGAAACATATCGTCAAAACATTCTCGTTCTTTTTACTCCTCATCTTTTGTTGCATACATACATTTAACTGTCGACATGTGTAGGTGTGTGTGCGTGTGCGTGTATCCGTTCACAAAGCTATGATTCGGACACGAATGGAGTATCGCGAAATGAAATTGTCATTGTGCATCATGCTGTTTCCTTCTCATATAGAATGTGTAAGGTTATCAACATCAACTAACATGCCATATTACATGTCTTTCTTCCAATTAATATTTCGAGAAAATAATATTGTCTAAAGCTAAATCTGTATTTATATAATGATCGTAAACTATTTATTTATTTATTTATTTATTCATTTATTTATTTATTTATTTATTATTTTGACCCATGGGTACCACCTTGATTGTTCTATTGATAATACAATACTTTCAATACGTGTTGTATGTTTAATCATTCACATCAGCCTCAGCTGAGATGCGTGAATGTTAATGCTCAACTACGACTTATGACCCTGCCTTCTAACACAAGCAAAACATTTAGTTTTTGTAAATCAAAATAGAAAGGTTTGTATTAGGATTGCCATTTTCAACAAATAAAATTTATACGTTAAATGTTCTATTTATTCGCCTTTTCTGGTCAAAGACGACAATGAGAAAGACAAAATCAAGGAATTGGTTGAGAGGAATCCACGATTTCCCTCGCTATGCACAGTGAATAAATCAACAGACAATATAGTGGCTAAACTAAATAAACTTGCCATGCATATTTTCTAACACACAGTAAACAAAACTGAGTGGTCTCTATATAATGGTCTACTCTAAATATTGTTAAGAAATTACTGCATGCAAAATCGGATTTTTAAAAGAACAAATTGGGTTTTTTGTTTATGAATGAACCAGTTTGATTAATGAATGCGCGATTTGTAGATAATAACCAGACATATAAAGGTGAAGTTAAGTAAGTGAATAAAAATGTATTTTGGAATACGATATCTCAGTGATACAGAGATGTGTGTGCACGTGTCCTGGACAGACAGACAGGCATAGAAAGGTTGCAAGTATAACAAAATGTCTAATAATTACAATAAATGTTAATTTTTCCCTTCGTTACTAATCAGTAACGAATGGATACGATTAATGAAACAGTCTTTTGATTATATGCTCTTTTTTTTCTCCGTTAACTTTACATTGTCAGAATCGTACAATATCCAGTTATATTGAACACCTTCATATTGCACCCCCACGTGACTGATGCACGTGAATAAAGAACTACTTTATATAGTAAACAAACAATGGACGCAGACGCCAGTGCTTTAGGTTTATTGTGTTTGTCGGTGGATGAAGTAAACCAACTATTTGAACCATTTGAAAGTAGAGATGCCAAGGTTGAGAATGTGGATGAATCACAGAAGAAATTTTCAACGAAGCTGGCGACTGAACGTGATATCAGAAATGTTCAGAGATGGCTGTATGAAATATAAACAAAGATGAAAGGAGTAACAACTTTTTTAGACAATGCAAAGAATGAATGAAAATAAAATTACATAACATAAAACAAAAAATATGGGAAAAATCTGTAATGAATTGTATAATCTGCACATACCAAACCGTTTTCACAATGAAATGCATTAATCAACATTGTCAAATATAAGAAAACTGGTTTTTATGGCAGGTGCATTGGATTATTTAATCATATATCGCATAAATTCACGATACAAATATTAAAAATTGCAGGTATTATCCGAGACCAATGGGGGTTAATCAACTTGGAACTCTGATGAAACGAGCAGCCGAAAGGGCACAAATCCAGGGGAGAATTACCAATTACTGTAACAAACCTGTCAAAAGCTGGGGTCCCTCCAACAAAGACAATGCAAGTGACTGGGCATAAAAATATGTCATCTATAACTGGTAATAGTAATGAGAATAAATCTACTTGCCTGTTTGCCTCTTTAATCTCCTCAAAATGTACGTTGTGGACTCTTTCTGCTAATAAGAATTACGTATTTCCAAATACTGTTACACATATGTGTACTATAATATGTAGGCTTATAGAATCCAGACTACATTGTTGAAATCGAAATCACATTCCATAGAAGACTGTACGGAACTCCGCAAGAAATGAATCTGTTGTTCACAAAAAAATAAACAATAATGAAACCAGCATCTTCTTAAGAATTTATGTTTAAAAACTTTCATATTTTTCCAGCTTACGATTCCAAACTATCCATGACAGAACAGAAACAGTTATGCAGATTGTTGTCATCGCCAGTCCCTGAAGTCACACGTACATCGTGCGGAAAACACACAAAAGGAGATAATCAGAATTTGGCTGTATTGACAGAAAAACAAACTCTCAATTCCTGACAAGCTGGGAACTTTGTTCAATGGTGCTGTCATTCATAATATGACTTTAAGTTTCAATTTCAGATAGACCAAAATGGGATTTCTTTTTTAAATGAGTGAGCGCGCGGTACACTATGAAGTCAAAAGGTCGATGGGCGGAGCTATATGCGCATAAATACTATTATTGTGTTTTGAAGGAGAATCTACGATTGTCAACTTATTTATTTTAATAATAAAATAATAAATTTTATTATTAAATATATTTGGTTGTGAATTTTATTATTAAGTCTTAGGTGATGAAATAAAAATGAGCATATAATAAAAAGGTTACTGGATGTGAATGGGAAAATATGAACTTGCTTTTTCAGATGGATATACTGCACTCCCAAGATCGTGCAGTATAGCCATCCGAAAAACTCGTTCATATTTTCCCATACAAATGCAGTAACCTATAAGTATTTAAACGTAACATAGGTCTTACCGTGACATAGGAACAGTGATGTCTAAAATTTCTAACGTTCAGTGATTAAGTGTTGACAAACGCAACACAAGGGACACAACTCGTGCAGTGATGTCCTCATCATCAAACGGACCTTTTCTGAGCAGTTT